TGTGCGTTGGCAAATGTGAGAGTCAAACTGTTACAACTATTAAAGAATGGAAGATAGTATTTGTTTTAAAATTAAATTAGGAATATTGATAAATCTTACAAAAATTCATATAAATTTGAATAAATAATCTAATTAAAATATAAAAAATAGTATACATGTTAAAATAGATAAAATTTTAAAAATATTAAAATAAAAAATCATAAAACTGAAAAAATAAAGTGAAAATAAATAAAATAAAAAATTTAAAAATCTTTTAAATAGATGTAGAATATTCATATATTTTTAAAAATTAAAAATTGTTGACTGATATTTTTAAATTTTCACAAATTTTGTATATAATTCTTCAAAAATCAACAATTCTTAGAGTTTTTAAATATTAAAAACTGCTATTATAGGTCAAAAACTGATTAAATGATCAAATTGATCAATTTTATAAAGTAGACGTACTTACAGTGGCGGAGCCAGAAAACGGCTTAGGGGGTCGAAACTCAACCTATATACAGAATGAAAATTATATGGTGGATTGTTTTTAAATAACGTCCGAGTTAAATATTTCATATGTGGTTTAGATAAATCGACACTTGTAGCAATAAGATAGATTGTATTTGCTCTGTTTCTGAGTCGTGTCATGTAAGTATTGAGTGAATTATACCTGATGGAGTATATGGCCCGGGAACCCCCGGCCCACAGACTCCTACTACTCCAGGAAAGGCCCAACAGGCCCAAATCACAGCGCCCAGAGTACCAAGCAGCTCGCACTACGCGCTAGGGGTGCCTTCGGCCCCCTGGCCGAAGGCTCTAAATTCTCACAGAACGGGTTTCTCAAGCAAACTAAGAAACTGGGAGAAAACGGCGAAAACATCAGCCCTCGGCACTGTGAGCCCTCGGCGCCAGGGTGCCATCGGGTGGAAGAGCCCTCGGCTACTGCTCTATGGCCGAAGGCATATCACTCGACAAGATATCCGCCTCACATGTGTGCAGATCACCGTACTCTGCACAGACGTCCCATCCAACAGCCGCATTAAATGCGGCCACATGCGGCTGCCAGCGCCAACCAGTTGAGGCGACCCCTCGGCCAATGAGCGCTTGACACGTGTCCCTGCCCGGCATTTATTGCTGCTATAAATAGCCCCCCATTTCCCCATTTGTAACCACGCTGAAAACGCTCCACATTTATAATACACTCTCTCTCTATATATTTACTTGCTCTGACTTCTCTCTAAGTTATTCCCCGTAATAACCCTTCGGATATATACCCCCGGGTAGACTATCCATCAATACCCTATTTTTAAAATTTGGGAAAGTAATCTATAGTATGCATCAAATTTTGTTGATTTTACGTTTTGATTTTTCAAAAGTCATAACTTTTTACTCGTAAGGAGTTACGAGGGTCATAATATATCAAATCAAAGATATTACAGAGCTCTATACTCTCAGACTTTTAGTGGGGTCTGCTAACCACCCTGACCCCCTTGGCTTCGCCCCTGCGTACTTATATGATACTTTTTTTTAGTACAAAGGCTTAAATGACGGATTTGAAATAATAGAAGAGCTTATTTGACCCTATTTTCATAATTTTTTGAAGAACTACTTGAGCTTTACCGGTCATTATATATTGTATGTATATAATAGACTTTAGACATATGTCTATAAAACAACTAAATTATTCCACAAAACCAAGTGCCCAATGCCAATTTCTATGACAAGTTTAAGCAACACTTCTCTACTTAATTTACATGATTGCAGGAATAACTAAAATAGGGAAATTAGTATGGACACACAAACACGCATGAACACATGATCCAACACCCATCTTTCTTTAAGATGGATCGTTTGACTCCAACATCATTACCATATGACCACGAATTGGCAGAATGCAACCAGAACTTCCAGCCCAGCTGGTTGTGAGGTTACCCATGCATATAAGAGGTCTCGTGTTCGAGTCCCACTAGCACCAGTAGAACTATGCTCCTTCAAAAAACCCTTCAAGTGGTAGGGCCAAGCGGTGTATACTAACCCGTAGGGCCAAGCCAAAGTTGGGTGTTTGGGGTAAGGGGCCGTGAAAGCGGTGAAGCTAGTCACTATAAAAAGTTTACTCATACCTTAGTTTTAACCAGAACATCCAGCCTAGCTGGTTGTGAGGTTACCCCTGCATAGGAGAGGTCTCGTGTTCGAGTCCCACTAGCACCAGTGGTACTATGCTCCCCCAAAAAATCCTTCAAGTGATAGGGCCAAGCGGTGTATACTAACCCGTATGGCCAAGTCAAAGTTGGGTTTCTGGGGTAAGGGGCCGTGAAAGCGGTGGAGCTAGTCACTATAAAAAGTTTACCCATACATTAGTTTAAAAAATCCAGAACTTCCAGCCTAGCTGGTTGTGAGGTTACCCCTGCATAGGAGAGGTCTCGTGTTCGAGTCCCACAAGCACCAGTGGTACTATGCTCCCCCAAAAAACCATTCAAGTGGTAGGGCCAAGCGGTGTATACTAACCCGTAGGGCCAAGCCAAAGTTGGTTTTTTTGGGGTAAGGGACCATGAAAGCGGTAGAGCTAGTCACTATAAAAAGTTTACCCATACCTTAGTTTTGAACCAAAACTTCCAACCTAGCTGGTTGTGAGGTTACCCCTGCATAAGAGATGTCTCGTGTTCGAGTCCCACTAGCACCAGTGGTACTATGCTCCCCCAAAAAACCCTTCAAGTGGTAGGGCCAAGCGGTGTATACTAACCCGTAGGGCCAAGCCAAAGTCGGGTTTCTGGGGTAAGGGGCCGTGAAAGCGGTGGAACTAGTCACTATAAAAAGTTTACCCATACCTTAGTTTAAAAAAACCAGAACTTCCAGCCTAGCTGGTTGTGAGGTTACCCCTGCATAGGAGAGGTCTCGTGTTCGAGTCCCACTAGCAGTAGTGGTACTATGCTCCCCCAAAAACCCCTTCAAGTGGTAGGGTCAATCGGTGTATACTAACCCGTAGGGCCAAACTAAAGTTGGGTTTCTGGGGTAAGGGGCCGTGAAAGCGGTGGAGCTAGTCACTATAAAAAGTTTACCCACACCTTAGTTTTAACCAGAACTTCCAGCCTAGCTGGTTGTGAGGTTACCCCTGCATACGATAGGTCTCGTGTTCGAGTCCCACTAGCACCAGTGGTACTATGCTTCCCCCAAAACCCTTCAAGTGGCAGGGCAAGCGGTGTATACTAACCGTAGAGCCAAGTCAAAGTTGGGTTTCTAGGGTAATGAACCGTGAAAGCGGTGAAGCTAGTCACTATAAAAAGTTTACTCATACCTTAATTTGTGGGGTTGGAAGGCACTCAGAGATGAGGTGTCTATCTTACGAATTGGCAGAACGCTATTAAAGTGTCAGATTCCACCACATATCTTTTCAACTTCAACTAACTCCCTCTTAGACAGGACATGTATCCACAAAATACATTAGTGAAATATATACGATGATCTAACTCATAAATCAAATGAACCACAAAAATGCATGTACGTGACACCGCTAACAATTGTATCCATACTTTAAATTGAGTTAAATACATACTTTTCCTTTACTATTAGACTATTATAAGAATGACATTTGGATTTGTGATGAAACAAATTATATCCTGCTGAGCTGCCACTTAATAATATCACCTAGAAATATTTCAATTAATATTTTTGCGACTTTGGAAGGTATGTGATAAAGAGATGCATATTATCATCCACTTTCTTCACTCTTGATAACCAAATTCTTATATTGGTCTTTGCTACCTCTTCCTCCTCCTATACATTGGACTAGCAAATGACAAACTGCAATCTGATTGTGGTTTTTATTCGCTCATACCCTTAGTAATCCAGCAATAATTACTTTAGTAAAAGTATTTGAGATATTATCCGAAATAGGACTACAACAGTTTGAAAATGTCAAAATAGGACTGACATGTTTTTATTCTCAAAATAGGATTAATTACCGTCATGTTTTGGCAGTACCAAATTTCAAACATGGCAGTATTTTCTAAACATGGCAGTAATTAGTCCTATTTTGGGAATAAAAAACATGACAATCCTATTTTGGAATTTTCAAACTGTTTGTCCTATTTCGGGAACTTTCTCCAAGTATTTCTCTAAACAAATTAAAAAACCCGTCTAACATAAGGTGAACAACTTTATGTTAGGACTGAACCTCAATCAACATTTTTTACGTGTTTATACAAGAAAATTAATGTTTAAAAGGGATGAATAGCTACAAAAGTGAATTCTGTAAATTTTGCGTTCACTCTTATACCCACTTTTATACTCACTCATGTTTGTGAAAGGATTTTTTTGTCTTGAATTATGTTCAAAGACAAAATATATCTTATTTTGTCTGTTCAAATGTGCAGACAAAATAAGAAATATTTTACTTGTGAACGAGATTCACAGATAAAAGAAAAACATTTACAAGATGAGTATAAGGATGAATCTAAGAGCATCTCCAATGCTACAATGTGCATAGTGTACATGTGGCATGAGAGATATCTACATAAATATTAAAGAGTAGCAAATAAATTATCTCTCTCCTTATTTGAATGATTTTATAAAATTTCGATAAGTTTTTCTCCACAATGTCAAGAACATCGTCTAGATGTTGACATTGTATTAAACATTGCAGGAAAAACTTACCAAAATTAAACAAAATCATTCAAATATGAAGAAAAATGATTTATTTATCAATATTTATGTGATTGTCTCTCATGCCACGTGAGCACACGTGAGCAACGTGTATATCCTAACATTAGAGATGGCAAATCTCCTAAACAGTCATGAGCTATCAAATTCGAATTTCGATCGTGTCCGGTATTGACCATTGTGCTGACCTCACGTGTGACCCTGACTTCCACAATCCCTCACCCTAACCCGAGTCCAAAATAACCCTCAAAACTTTTCAAGTAGAGAGGGCCCAAAGCCGGTTCAAAAGCTGTGGGCATCAAATCTAACCGTCCATTGAATGACACATGGGGCTATGATTGCGCCGCAGACTCGTTAAATTACGGATAAGTCCTTGGAAATCAGGAATAAATGACAACGGACTTGCCAGGAAAAATCACCGGCTTCCGAGGCTCCATAAACCTCTCCAAAACTCTCTCTCTCCATATTTTCCCTGTTCCAAGAAAGGTCAAATTATTCCGGTGACCTTTGCTCATCGGTAAGTTTCAAGTTTCCGGTGCTCGTATTTTGCGTTTTCTGCCATTTGGTGATTCGCTCGTTATGTTGAGGGGAGGTGGGAGAAGCTTTGAACCTTTTCGACGTTCCTTTAACCGCGAACTTTCCAAATTTTGAGAGGAAAATTTCCGCACTCAGGTTCCTAATATTTTTTGAAAATGGAATGAAGAGCTCTCTGATTATTATTGGCAATTCGTTTTTGCATTGCGCTGATTCGTTTTCTTCGGAAACGGCAATCGAGGAATTGAATGTAGCATTTTTTCGTCATTTTGCGCTTTTTTGGAGCATTAGCTTTTCCTTGAGTTATTGATAATTATTTTTCCATTATAAGATTTCTCTCTTTTTTGTTTCCGTTTTTTCTGGTTTAGTGTGAATACGGTGAAATATTCGAAACGTAAAGTTTATTGGGATGGATACCAATGCTATTGCAATTACTCTTCCAAAACAGTGTGATTTCATCTTGCTTTATTGTGTAATCATAACGCTTGGGCGGATATAGGGGGATTTATTATTCATTTACGTTTTTTTAATGTGAATTGATACCTAAATCACTAATTATTCCACAATTGGTGTTGTGAATACTGCACTTTCGTAATTTGCAAGGTTAAGATGGTTTTGATGATATATTGTAGCGAAAAGGCCTAGGCATTAGGCGGCCATCCAAACAGCTTCTTTGCTTGCTCCATCACATTCCATTAGATGGGCTGTTTTCAGTCTACAGCAACAAAGCAGTTTCCCGGACACGAAAATCCTGTTGTTCTTGCTTCTCAAACAGCTTGTAAGCCATTTCTTTTATCTATTTCATTTCTCATTTTACTTTTGCTATCATTCACTGATTAGCTAAATAAATAGCCGTCACTGCTTGTTTCCGATTTGTGGGACTTTTTAAAAGTAAGTGGTTCAAGTCACAGTAATTGAGTGTCTATTCTACGTTTGATACCCCATATTCTCTAAAATAGTCTTACTTTATAGCTTCTTTGGATATTAGTCAGATTTTTTAGTGCTTGGGTTGAAGAATTGGGTAAGTTTTGGTTTTGAATTCCTAACAACCAAGCAGTCTTTATGGGGTGTACCTTTGGAGATGTGGATCAAGGAATTGGAGGCATTGGTGAACTTTGCTGCATGTATCATCTAAGAATTTTAAATAAAATATCACAAAGTTGCTGCATGCTTTGTGCTGCAATTCTGCGTGATATTCATGGGCTAGGTAGTCACCAACATGGGCGGTGTTGGCCTGTTGGGAGAGTCTACATTGCCCAGTCTTGGATTGGGCGAGTCTAGAGGGACAAGCACACCCTGGCAAACATGAAAGATGCTTGCCATTTACCGGGAAGCCTCTAGGGTGCTTATCCGGTTATCCCTTTCTCCCCAAACCTTTTCTAAGTAACAATGTCTATCTTCCAACTTTGGTCTTTATAATGATTGAAGTTTCACTCTTTTTATGTCTAGTTTTGTGTTCCATTGGAAGATTAAAGCAACCATAAATGAACCACACCTCTTTTATTTTTTCTAGACTTAGAGATGAATATGTAGCACATATCATATTTTTTAAGCTCCAGGCTTAACCAGTGACTGTGTCTAATATTCAACGATCAATTGATCCAGTACAATGTTTACAAAAAGTCCTTGTTGTTGCTCCACAACTGTAATCTCATCATTTATTTTATTCATGTGGAAGTTCTCTGTAATTTGTACTGAATATGTTTGGCCCACACTATACATGCAGTTAGTGTTAGCGAAGTGGAAGCTTTATTTGAGCTGTTCAAGAGTATCAGCAGTTCAGTGATTGATGATGGGCTAATAAGCAAGGTATGTAGTGCTGTGGCAGTTCGGTACTGTTTAAACCTGAAAATATGAATACCCTGAACCATGAGCGCCTTTACATCGATATTTTATTTTTATTTCTAGAGATGGCTAGCTATTAATCTTCTAATAGTATCTTTGGACAAGTCTGTTTAAAAGCTTGTATAGTTCTCTATTTTTGTTTTATGTTTAGTAAAATGTATTTTAATAGTAGTTAGGTAGAAGAGTGTGTGTTAATATTTGAAAATAAAATGTTCTAAACAAAAGAATTAGAAGCAATGATGTGACTAATGTTTCCAGGAATGTTTTGATAACATATCCTGCTAACTGCTTTGAGTATGATGGCCTCAGTTCTCTTTAGAGTTTGTGATCTGTTAATAATCTGTGAAAGTAATTCATGCAAAATTGAACATTTGAGTAGATCATACATCACATATTTGTTGTCTTTGAATCTTTGGCATCCCACATGAGCACTTATTTGTTTCTATCACATATTGTGGGGGGTTTATATTCTCTCGGTGACGAAAAACCATGTTGCATATGCAGGAAGAGTTTCAGTTGGCTTTATTTAAGAACAGGAAGAAAGAGAACCTTTTTGCTAATCGGGTATGGTACAATTTGTTTTAAGTTTAAGAGAATACGATTTATAATAAATTCAGTCATATTATGGTCATGGAAAAGGAGTTTTAATGTCATACAAATATAAAACACATCAAGTGAACTTGAATATCATCATTATCAGTACCTTAATCGCAACCAGATGGGTTGGTGGCATTAAATTTATAGTGTGTATCAATTGTATGATATTGATTACAACTCTAAGTTCACACAAAATCATAGTGGTGGTTTTTTATTTCAGATGCTCTTTGTGGCATTAGAGCTTGTATTTGTTACATATGACACCCATTCTTATGTCCAAGCAGTTTCTTACTTTATAAGGATTAAATTCTAATGCATCCAGAAGCTGTTCTGCTTGCAGATTTTTGACCTCTTTGACGTGAAGCAAAAAGGAGTCATTGATTTTGGTGATTTTGTTAGAGGGCTTAACGTTTTCCACCCAAATGCCCCACAAGAGGATAAGATCAACTGTGAGTGAATTAAATGCTTTATTAGATCTACAATAATATCTGGCATACTCCTTTGTCTTTTCTATGGTAAACTATGTCCATAAAATAAATTGGACACTGGTTGTGTTTTTGCAGTTTCATATAGGCTTTATGATTTGGATGGCACAGGGTTCATTGAGCGCCAAGAGGTGTTTGATATTCTCCTTATTTGATTACCCCCCTCATGTTAGACTATTGAGCATCTGCAAAACTTGTTCAATATGGCTATTGGAATCGAAGATTCAATTGTTTTTATGATAAATACTCAAACATTTACAACTGCAATAAAAGTATATGCGTTCACGTCTGTTATCCTTGCTAAGCAAACTATTTTCACTGTTTAAAGGAGTATTATTATTGGCTGACCCGTCTGATTAAATATTGAGCAATGTGTCACTGTTTATTATTTAATCCGTGGTCTATTTTTTAAGAACAAGACATTTTTGCCGGGTTAAGTGGATATTCTACTTGAACTTTAGGGTGCCTTTAGTTAATTTTGTTGCATGGGGTGAATGGTTCTTTTATCTATGTTTGATTTTTGTAGGTTAAACAAATGTTGATTGCACTTCTGTGCGAGTCTGAAATGAAGTTGGCTGATGAGACTGTTGAGATAATACTGGATAAGGTAATTTGCTGATGATTAATGACTTCAATTTTTATTTAAATTATTTTTCTGGATCAACAAACATGCACCCTATTGTACCAGTACTTCTGAGAAAATTTTGATGTTGTACGAGGGCGCTAAAGTGTAATTACCCGAGCTAGGCGGGAGTATTTATAACAATGCCAATTTATGGCTTTGGAGATGGGGAAACCTCTCATTACATTTACCTTCTACGATTCTCTATGGACTTCGGATTTCTTGCTTTCCCAAATGCTATATAGACATTAACAGTGTCATATTATTTATGTGGACAGACATTCTTGGAGGCGGATACAAATCAGGACGGGAAGATTGATAAGTGCGAATGGCACTCCTTTGTCACAAAAAACCCTTCATTGCTTAAAATAATGACACTTCCATATTTAAGGTATGTTGCTACAATGTTAGTTTATACTCTATCCTGCTCTTATTATCAGAGGCAGAATTGACCAAGTGTTCCTCAAACCAACAATATTATATGAGTTTGACCATGACGCAGGGATATAACGACAACGTTTCCAAGCTTTGTTTTCCATTCTGAAGTTGATGAAGTTGCTACCTGATGATAAGAGAAGAAAGGAAGAAGTACTCCATCTGTAGTTTCAGCTGTGCTACTTCCATATTCTGAAGCGAAGTTTTTTTATAATCATAGAAAGGCAGCAGTGTATTGTGTACTGGCATGAGGCAGAAGACGTAGTTTTCTGTAGACATGGCGTGCGGAGAGCGGAATGTTGCTGTGTGAGTCGACCGGCAAGCTGCTCTAACGATTAGGAGAATTGTATATTATTGAATGAATCACTTAGGGGCCATTTGGCATCTGTTATGGTTAGGGGAATTGTGATGCGGTTTCATGAATTTTGGCCGACGCGATAATTGTTTGAGCCTGTAATAGAATTCGGGAATCTCACTTCATTTCTTTCTTTCTTTCTTCTTAACCGGTATATATACCCCGTATGTTTTTATTTACAAGTTGTGAAGATGAATATAAGGTTTTCATGCATCGCTTATGTTACTGGTCTGGTATTGGTGGTCTTAGAGCCACTCCAATATGATCAAGCGACCAGCTACTTGTAATTTGGCTGGCGGCAGTGCGGAACCAGAAATGACAGGTTGGGGAGGTCGGACTGTCGGAGTAGTGATGGATTCGGGCCGGGTCGGGCCCGGGCCGGGCCTAGGCCCGGTCGGGCCGCCGGTTCAAGAAAAGTGGGCCCGGGACCGGCCCGCGGGTTGGACGGGTCCGGTTTGGGCCGGGCCACCCGCCCCGGGGTCACGGGTCGGGTCCGGTTCGGGCCGGGCCGGTTTTTTTTTATATAATTTATATTTATAGTTTATAGTTTTATACGAGTATTAAAAACAAACTTCAATTGCATTTATTTGAAATGAAATAGGAACTACATATAAGAGATAAACATTTTGAAAATTGTAATCAATCGGAACTTACTGCACCTCCCGATCCTTTGGCTTTGTCACATGACTTCATATGCTTGATTGCCATCCCGAATCCGCCTGAAGCCCCCATTATACATTTTTTTCGCACCATTTGCAAATTGCGTACCACATCCCGGTCTTCGGGTCCTTCTGCTTATCAAAATTATACCGTATAATGGCATTTTGATTTTCCATCTTAACTTCTTGGAGAAGAGAATATGAGAGTAGATATATAATATATTGGAGAATAAGAGAATTAGAGAGTAGAGAGATAAGAATAGGAAGAATTGGAGAAGAGATATGAAAAAATGTTTAAGATTAGGAGTATTTATAGGTTTTTTTTTTTACCCCCCACCAACCCCCCCACCACCCAACCCCCCCGGACCCCCCTTTACCCCACCCAACGGCTATATAGCCGTTTGGGTTGTCCCCACCCCCACCCCCAACGGCTAGTAGGAGCCCAAACAATTTTTTTTATTTTTAAAAAATTGGACCGGACCCGGGCCCGGGCCCGACCCGGCCGGGTCACAAAAATGCTGAACCGAGCCCGCCCCGCCCTTCCCACCGGTTCGGGCCCATACCCGGTCCCGGACCGCCCGAACCGGGCCGGTCCCGGGCCCGCACAGTACCGGGTCGGGCCGGGTCACGGGCCGGGTGGCCCGAACCGAATCCATCCCTATGTCGGAGCTTGAAACATTTAAAATTTCACTACATTTTTAATTGCCTATAAATATATATACATATGTATATACTCCGTACATAACAAGATGAACAACAAATCAGGGCGCGGTATGCGCCAAGTCAGGCTTCAATTGACATGTATATACATAACAAATTTTATCTAGGGGAGGCTGAGACTCCCTCCCTTCACCCCTGTCTCCACCCCTGATTGGCGGTATATTTTCTATATATACTACTCCCTCCGTTCCATATTTAACTCCGGTTTTGATCGGGCACGAGTTTTAAGATAGTGAGATTTGTGTGGTGGAGAGTTATGCAGAAGAGAGAGAAATGTGTAAGAATGATTGTGAATCACATATTCTTTACCAAAAAAGGAAAAAGGAGATAAATTTGGGACGGACCGAAAAGAAAAGAATGAAGATAATTCCGGGACGGAGGGAGTAGTACGTACTTCGTACATTACTAGTTTACTACTCCCTCCGGTTCTTATTAAAGTTCCCACTTTCCTTTTTGGGATGTCCCTTATTTAAGTTCACACTTCCATTTTAGGAAACAAAACAGTGCAAAACAGTGCAAAACAGTGCCAAACAGTGCCAAACAGTGCACTCTACAGTAAAGTCAAATTCATTTTCTTAATATGTGTGAAGTCAAACTGAGAACTTAAATAAGAACCGGAGGGAGTACTACCTATTTCCCAGCTACGTTACATACAATGATACAACCTTTTCCTTAAGCTGGAATGGGAACCACATACCAATATGCTTTTTGTTTACTTTGTTAAAATTATAATGAGTATATCTATACTGACTAAAAAACCTTTTTAGTCAGATAGAACACAACTTTTTCTTAGAATTCCTTTTAAATGAGAAATTTACGTTAAAAGCACTTTTTCTGTAATCTCTAAAAACATGGTTCTTTTTTTCGCAAAAAATACTCGTATGTTATAAAAAAGCATAACACACGGATGTTTCTTTAGAGGTACAGTAGATAAGAATGTGGAATTTTAGTTATAAATTTTGCTCTAGATTCATTTTTACAAAGATAAACAATAAAACTAAACACTGGCTTTCCCATGTGCGCCAAATATCCGATAACTATCAACAGTTAGCTACTCCTTATATGACTCATTGACTTTTTAGAAATTCCAAGTTATCCACGCAAGTGTCGGAAATGCTGTTAGCCTTGTAATTTCTTTGAGTTTTTGAAAAATAAAAAATAAAACATTTAAATATTAAAAAGGAATTTTATCAATCCAGGACCTGAAAGATAGATGAACTATCAATTCAGGGCCTGAAAGATAAAATGTATCGGTATAGGACTCGAATGATGGAAAACTATCAATCTAGGACCCGAATGATTGAAAACTATCAATTCAGGATCTAAGTTTTCATAAATTTTATTATTTTTATTTATTTTAAAAAATTTAAATAATATTTAGTTTTATTAAACTAATAAACTTTTGTGAGGAAAGTTTTACAAATATTAGCAAATGAATTAATAAAAATTAAATAAATCAAAACCTATGAAATGTTAGGGCCTAGATTGATAGTTTTTCATCTTTCGAGTCCTATAATGATACATTTCATCTTTCAGATTCAGACTAATAATTTGTTTATCTTTCAGGTCTAAGATTGATAAAATTTCATATTAAAAATGTCAATTTTTCTGTTTTTTTATGTTCAACTTTCAAAATTAACGTGACTACTATATTTTCAAGTCTATTTGGTACGTGGGGCGGTGGGTATACAACTTTACCCGGATTCATTCAAACCATCGGGTAGAAGATATTGAAAACGATTCCTTCTAATCATCGAACACGTTCAATATTTATGCGATGATTTCAATTTCAAAATGACTTTCTATTTCTTCGATCTCCACAAATTGAAATTAATTATTCGTATTTTCAAAGCTTCAATTATTCGCATCTCTTCCTAATCATTCGTTAAATTATTAGAGAATTTCCTCCCAACAATTATTCTTCTAACCCATTATTGGTCTATTTTCTATAACTTCATTGCAGCATAAATAGAAGTGACATAATCTATGGAGTTGTATTAGAATTCAATTCATAGAATCCATAATATTTTTAAAAAAATCAAAACATATTTTAATAATTAGAACACCCCTCTGATTATAAATTAGGATAATGGGACAATGTTAGCAATTATTGTATTAATAAATTAAGAATAAAGTAAATATGATTTAGACTCATACAAACTTTATCAAAGTTAGTAAGACACAATCTTAGTGAGTTTTCCGAAAAAGAAAAATGAGACAATCTTAGCGGGACGGAAGTAGCAATACATGAAATATAGGGAGTATTTCTTATTGGCCGATGTATTTGCGATATCCTATTCTTTACATTTTTGAATGATATTACTCATATATATCCATTATCTATTAAGTAGTAATACTTGCATAAACTTTAGCTTATCCATATATAGCCAATTCCAATCAGGTTGACTATGTGAAACAAAAGAACTGTGATGATTGTTTAATACTTTTGACGTGTACTTTGGTTGAAAGATATTCAACGTAGTACTACGTATAAATGTATAACAGAAAAAAGAAGATATGATTAAATCCGGGGTTTAATAACCGACCACAAGTGAAGGAAAATACCTACCATATAGTAAAATTCACGTACGCTATATTGACTAACCACACACCGCAACTCGTAACTGATAGTGAGGAAGTGGCACAAGGGTTAGGTTCCGGGTTCGAATCCACATAGGATTACTATGTTAAAAAATGCATAGGGCCTCTGCAAGTATCGGGGACAGAGCCTCACTTTCTATCCGTCAGATTTAGATTATAGTCCAACTTACATCCTCCCATTTTCGACGTCTAATGCGTATTGTTCGATGGATGGAACCTCATTGAAATCAAGATGTAACAGGGCCGGAATCAGGGCACTAGACTGGACTGGACCGATACAAGGAATACTTTTAGAAAAAGTTTTACACGGAATTTTTTATGTTAAAAATTAAGCTATTTTTAAAATTTGTGGTGGGTCATGGTCTAGGTTGGCCCTCCCCTAGCTCCGCCCCTGACTACCTTCGTCTATGAATTATCTTCCAAATGAGGTTTTGCACGGGATTAAGAAAATAAAAATTGTATGATTGAATATTTTTATAGAGGAGGGAAATATGTAAGAACTGTTTTGAACTACATTTGCCAAAAAAGGGAGGATGAAATTATTTTGAGATGAATAAATAAGGAAAGTTTAAAAGTAATTCATGTAAGGCCCCATCCCATGTAAATAGAGGTCTTGATCAATAGACTTTATTGGGCCTTTCTTTAATAAAAGTCCAAGTATTAAGTATAAATCATTATAATAAACCATTTTAATAAACCATTATATAGTAATTATTTAGTACTAATAAACTAATTAGTAATACAGATATACGACCACTTATAAAGATATAAAGAGTAATATTTAGAATATATGTCCAATTTGGGATGATATAATAGCAGAGGGGTATATAAGAAATTATGAAAAAATGAGCTTACAATAATAGACATGTTAGACATGCCTAGGGCCAGGAGCGGATGCACATACTATCTCTATCCCAAAAAATTCTCCTCATTTATCTTTTTGTGATGTCCAAAAAATGAGCGGATTCACATTTTCCTTTTTGGAAAGGTTTGTGTGGCTACCATTCATTTACATTTTTCTTACTCAATCATAATCATACATTTTCACTTTATTTCCACTTTCTTAAACTCCGATCCAAGTCAAATCGGGAAGAATTTTCCTTGAGTATATTAGAGTGGGCAAGTGCCCCCAATAAAATTGGAATACTATTGCTAAAAAATATTTATAATTTTGTCATAGTTTAATAATTGCCCCCAACAAAAAAATTGTTGTGCCCCCAATAAAAAATAGATCGAACCCCCGCC